AGCCGCACTTAGAGTACGGCATACAAGCTTGGAGGCCGTGGGCTGTTGAGGATCAAAACTGCCTCGAAAGGGTCCAGAGGAGAGCCACGAAGATGGTCAGGGGTCAAAGCTCCTTTCCTTATGCAACTCGCCTAGTAAATCTGAACCTCTTTCCTTTGAGTTACAGGCAACTTCGCGGGGATCTCTTGCAAGCCTTCAGCATTGTCAAGGGGTTGGATTGCAGTCTGGCCTTCTAGGACTTTTTTGAATTTGCTACCACGACCAACCTCCGAGGTCATCCGTTAAAACTGCGCACTCAGCATGCGAGGTTGGATGTACGGAAGTTCTCCTTCTCTGTTCGAGTGGTCAAACCATGGAATGCCCTTCCCGCAGATGTTGTGATGTCACCATCCAAACAAAGTTTTAAAAAGAATCTTGACATATTTATGTTCCAAAATGACCAAGAGCGATGAGAAGTAGAGCTGACCCCCTGTAACCCGTACTCATTTTGCCCTAAAATTATGGGCGTGTTTGAACTATTTCAGCCCAGAACATTTATCTGTATACCACACATTTTTTACGTTGCAAATAGGGTGCTCAAAGGCTTACGACTATTTCCCTCAATAAACTGAAATGAACTGAACGGAACCCTCCGTATTCGCCGTGTATTAGTATTGGTCGTACCTACCTTACGCATTCCTCGACTGGGCTCGAAGATGACGGTGACCGATTGCGTCTGGGTTCCTCTCGTCTCACCACCTTGACACGTACAGTCTCATCCGGCGTATGAATTCTGCTCCGACGATGTCCGTTTTTAATCCTTATACAATTCGCATGCAGACCAGTCCTGTCTGGACTGCGTACTTACCACCTTATGGATGACATTTTTTCTGCCCTGACGATGGCCGTTTATGATCCGTTATACACTGCCATATGCAGGTCGGTGTTACCCGCATTTCTATCCTTTCATGACCGACTGTTGTGTTCTCCTCTACGGTTAATTCAATCATTGTTCAAATTCTTGAGTGGAGTTTTTCACTGCTCACTCGTCATTTTTCGTAGCGGACTACTAATTCAGAAAAACGACTTGCATTTTGTACAGATTCTGTCTACCTCTTCTAATATTCATATGAAAATGTAAGATACTTGCTATGATCCCGAATGTTCTCCAATAAAATTACTTGCTCATTATTTATTTACTTATAGAAGGAACTGCCGAGGATACTTACACTGACGAATCCATCCCTATGGCACGTCAGCGAATTCTCATTTATCCACACACAGACGGGCTTGAATTTCTCAAGACGAGCTAAAGGGCGCTGTTTGGAGGAATTCCTGATTAAATAAGAAGTCGATCTTTCTTAGAGCTGAAGTCATGCTCAGTGGATCAATTCTGATGGAATTTATACATCACTGCCGCAAGTAAAATATTTGAGTAGCCACATGAACAGGTCATATGGACCAAACCGTGTAGGGTAACCGTAGACAGGCAATTTAAATTTGGTAGCCGCTGCGGCCAAGCCCACCTCTGGTCGCACCGACGCCTTATTAACATTGGAGCCAAATGGGGGTTGGAGGAGAATGTACGGCAGATGTAGCGCAAGTCAGTCTCAAAATCAACTAATTAACACGCAAGTGATCGTCCTGCTTCAAATTCATGGCACACACGGTGCGCATCGTCTCTAGCGACGGCCGGATACTCGTGTGTATATTTGTGTAATTATGGATATAGGTGAAAATGTAATTATATACATATGATACTTGCCAGAAATTATGGAACATCTCAGCACTGCCTGCGTCATTTTTTAAGTGACATTGGATGAATAAACACAAGAACAGAGCTAACGGTTCCTATTTAAACCCCTATGTCTGTCATTATTATCATCCTTGTTAGGTTGAGTGAGAAAAGTCTACCATCAGCTTGGTAAATCATTTAATGCAATCTCCCATGTATTGGTGGGCGTGGGAACGTGATTTTGTTCGGTATTTATAATCAAAACGACTGTTCACTTGTAATGCGAAAATTTGACATGCGAGTCCACATATGTGGAAAATCACAGATGTCTTTGACGAACCGGTGTGAATAACATGACCGTTTGAGCAATTACACGGTATTGGGTTAAACCCGCCGACCTACGTGAGACATCTCAGGCAATCTAGAGGCAGTAGTCACTGCGGGATATTTTAATTTTCTGTCCTGACACGCATAATTAAGTATCTTCGATTGTCTCTACGACTTGCCCTATCTCACCATTCTGCGCGATAGTGTAGACCAAGATTTACGAGGTTAAAAATCCATTTATGCGTACACGCATGCTGAAAGCGACGTACCTGCAGCTATTCAAGAAACGCTTTGATTTGTGTCCTCTGTTTTCCTTCTACAGTCTGGGTCCGAGTTAAATGCCTCGAAAATTGCAGAAAGCTCGTCTTTACAACCATGGATCGAACGATGTCCTCGTTCGTACACACTTGAAAATTTGCCTCATCCGCGCCAAAATATGCCATGTGTTAGACACCGCGATGTCGCTAAGATCCGGCAACCCGTTACTGTCAGGGCTCTAAGCAGAGAATTCCAGTCCTGTTTTATAACCTGAGTCGCCGAGGGATGCGGTAACAAGTGGTAGTAACTGCAAACACTAGTCTACAGGGCAACTGGGGAAATTCTTGGATGTACCCAGCGACGATGTAGTGATTGGATCACCGAAAGAACACTGCAGTTGTCTGCTCAGACGGCTCGAGCCAGGTTTTGTAATGAGGATTGCTTCCGCCAACTCCGGAAGATGAAGGCAAAGTCGGCCAGGATGGCTAGAAGAAATATTGAGCCGAAGTAACGACCTCCATGGAACAGTCCTCGATCGTGGATGACACTTGAAATCCCTACCACCTTATCCGCTAAGCTAGGGTTAAGCCCTCTGCACTGAGTGACTTTGTTCGCGACGTAAATGGCGGCTTTATTGCAGACAAAGTCGAGCGCTGGCGTGAACACTTCGATAACCTAACCACCACGTCTTTGCTCTCCTTTGAAGCGTTGTCTCCTCCATAGCTAATCTATGCAGTGTCATGCGACCTCTTTTCTGAAACTGAAGTCGCCGATGCCATACAAATGCTACGCAACAAGGCACGCCGAGTAGGCTGAAGTCGACAAGTTATTTTTCGGCACTCTGACGCCCTGGCTCTATGAGGTGACTAAACAAACTTGGAGAAACTAAGTTGTTCCTGATGACTGGGGTTCGGGCATTCTTTTATCTGTCTTTCAGATGAGGGATAAGACGATATGGGGGAACAGCCGCGGCATAAGCCTCATCGGCCTACCTGCAAATATCATCACCAATGTCTTTCCTAGGCGATTCCAGACTGTGCGAGACTCTAGAATGAGGCTCACCCAGGCTGGATTCCGTGCTGGACGTGGATGTGGGACAACATATTCACACCGGGACGCATTGCCAAATTCTGCCATAGCTGCCAGCAGTCGACGGCCGTCTGTCTTGCTGACTTTACCGCCGCGTTCGATTCCGTCCATCGTGATTCCCTGTGGCGGATAATGGCACTGGATGGTGCACCGTCAAAAATCATCGCCATGATCAAGGCCTATAACCGCTCCACTACTGCGAGGGTCCTGCTCCGCGATGCTTTTTCCTAACCGTTCTGTATTCGATCTGGCGTTGGACTGGGTTGTATTCTTTTGCCCATTCTGTCCTGCAACTCTATTGACTGGATTCTCGTAAGAGCCCAACACGAAGGTGACGGTGTTGAGTTTGCACTCGAATAACGACTGCGCCTTCGATATCTCCTTCATATCTTCGAGTTTTGGTGATCTTCAGTTTATAGTGTCACGGATGAACGAGGTCGCTAAATCGGCCGGTTTACCCATAAACGTTGGGAAGATTAACGTGTTTTCAAGCCACATACCTGACCAGGAGAAGGAGCCTCGCGGGATTGATGGCTGTCAACTTGAAGAAGTGGACATTTTGAAGTGCCGCTGGAAGAAGCTACTGCCGAACCGCCGAAGTAGGGATGACATTGTCTCCCGAATTGATGCTGTCCGATGGGTTTTCTCACGCCTTAGAAGGTGCCTGTGAATATGACGCGACATATCCATCGCTACTAAGATTCGCGTCCTTCTCCACGGTTATGAATACTGGGCTGTCTGCATTGAGGGATGTAGAGGTGTTCATTTGCGGGTCCACGTGACGGTCGTAGTAGGTCGCTTACTTGCGTGCAGGTGTAGACTATGCCTAGCAGCCCTTAACTGGCACCCAACTGTCACATGTGACTCCGTGATTTTAGGCTCTTTCTAGCGACCACACCCTGGTAACCGCCTCGATCGTCGGACTTATCCAGGTGAGGGTATCCGTGTGTGCACCTCTGCACACACTATCTCGGCTCCACATCCAACATCGCTGGCCGGACTGATCACCGCCTCAGCATTTCCGAGATGAGGCTCCGTCTGCAACGCAGCAGGAAGCCAAAAGCACTCAGCAAGCTACTGACCCCGTGGCTGGAAGACCGGCCCATTACTTCTCATTCACGCATATTCTCCGTCCTTCTCTATTGTCCCTCACGTTCGCTACTTTCTAATCTACTCTGATACAACAAAGTCGAAAATCCCACGGATAATCGCATCGTCACCTCCAAGGCGAAGCTTCGTCTGCAATCCCGCAGGAAGCCACAAGGTAAGTGACCCCAGGTAAGCCCAATATTGCTTTGTTGTCTTTGCATTTGCTTGTTCTAGCTTGTTTACCTCCGTCTGTTTGCTTGTGTGTGTCCTTGTTATTTGCTAAACACCGTATGTTTAACTTGTCTACTCACCGTTTACATTCTCAACAACCAGTTAATTTTCAGAGGGACGGGCAACTATAATTCCCGTCATTCTACTCCTTCTCCCACGCAAAAGTCCTACGGCGGGAGCAGTAACGACCACATAGGCGGCCCAGATTAGTTCGGGTCGTTCTTTCACTAACCAAAGTTTTTGCCCATAGTGGAGTCCGGCAGCCGTCTGTGATGTCTAAGCAGCCCTATTTATGGACAGCACTGCCTACCCCAGCGTAGTGAACGGGGCTAGAAAAGGTGCCGTAAACAAATGCCGGTATCACGTCCTTTGCGCGCTGACCGTGGCACGCAGACGCAAAACGCAACAAAACAAGAAACCATACTCTCACCCTTCCCTCTCCTCCCCCCGTTGCCCTACTTCCCAGTCTGGTAGGGTGCGTCCGCTCACTCTGGAAGCTTGAGAGGTTCGTTTCCTTTTAGATAATCTGAGGAGCAACCAACCGGAACCGAGGACGGTGCTAGTGGTTCGGGAACTGGCGCGCTACAACGTGGACAACGCTGCATTCAGCGAGACCCGCTTCTACGAACAAGGTCAACAGGAGGAGGGTGGTGCCTGCTACACCTTCTTCTGGAGCGGTCGCCCCAAGGCAGAGCGACGGGACGCGGACGTTGCCTCTGCCATCCGAAGCAACATCGTGGGACGACTGCCTGTCTGCCGCAGGACATCAACGATCGCCTGATAAGCCTCCGCCTGCCTCTCCGGGGAGGCAAATTCGCCAGCATCGTCGGCGTCTACGCTGCCCCGATGACCAGCCCTGACATGGTAAGGGACAAGTTCTACGAGGACCTTCGCGCCCTCCTAGCGATTGTGCCGAAAGCGGATAAGTTGATTGTCCTTGGTGATTTCAACGCCCGCGTCGGCACAGACCATGCTGCCTGAATAGGAGTGTTGGATCCCCATGGTTTTGACGGCTCCAATGACAATGACCTGCTCCTCCTGCGAACCTTGCAGAATACCGCTTCACACTGACCAGCATATTTCGCCTTCTGACTTGGGAAAAGACAACCAGTAGACACCCTCGGTAGTGACACTGGCACCAGCTGAACTATGCCCTTGTCCGGAGGCGAGACCAGCGGGAAGTGCTGGCGACAAAGGCGATCCCGGGGTGTCGACGGATATGCCGACTAACGCCACGTCAACTCCAAGATGAGGAGTCGCCTGAAGCCTTACAGGAGACCTCAAGGTAAGCGACCCCCGGGTAAGTTGAACATTGCTTTATTGTCGTTGCCTGCCCACCATCTCCAATTCAACAATGAACTAGCCCAAAGTCTAGCCAACCTTCCAGTCGCCGTCGCGGCCGCCGACAAGAATGCCTCCGCAGAGAACCGATGGTGTCAGCTGAGGGACACGTTTCAGTCGACGGCTCTGGCTGTCTTCGGTCGCGCACGTCGCCACCATTAGGACTGGTTCGACGACAGTGACGCCGCCACCAGCAACTCACTCGCCGAAAAGAGCAGACCGCACAACGCCTACGTCAATCGCCCTACTGACGACAACGAAGCAGTTTTCTATTGTAGTCACCACCTTGTGCAAATGCGACTGCGAGAGATGCAGGAGGCCTTGATGGCTCGCAAGGCCGAGAAGACCCAAGGATACGCAAATCGCAAAGAATGGAGGAACTTCTTAGTCACCATTAAGGCTGTCTACAGTCCCACAGCCAAAGGCACCGCTCCTCTCCCCAGTGCCAACGGCAGTACCCAACTCACTGAACAGACAAAAATTCTGCATCGATGGACCGAACACTTCAGAGGCGTCCTCAATCGTCCATCCATCATCTCCGACGCTGCCATCACCCATCTGCCTCAAGTGGAGACAAACGCACTCTCTACACGAAACCATGAAGGCCGTACAGCAGCTCTCCAGCAGGAAGGCGACCGAATCGGACGTCTGCGAAACACCGTCTGGAACCGTCACGGTCTCCACCTCAGCACCAAGCTCTAGATGTACAAAGGTGTCATCCTCCGGACACTGCCATATGGAGCAGAGACGTGGACAGAAAACAAGAAGCAGGCGTGAAAGCCCAAGCACTTCCACCTTAGCCGTCTTCGGCGGATACGAAAGCTGAGGTTTCAGGACTGAATCTCGACTACGGACGTAATGTAACGGACAGGAATTCCCAGAATCTACGCCATGCTGAGACAAGTGCAACTGCGCTGGATCGACCACCTTCTGCGGATGGATGACGAGCGGCTACCCAAACGACTCCTCTATGGAGATGTCATCACGGGTTCACGCCGACGAGGAGGGCAAGTTCGACGTCACAATGATACCCTGCGACTCGGCTAACTAGGAAGACCTCACCCGAGATCGACCGACCTGGTGTAGAGCAGGGAAGACGGGCGCAGTAATCTACGAAGCCTACCGCATCACCGCCGCCGAAGCCAAACGCGAGGCTGGCAAATCTCAACTGCTCCCACCTGCCAACGCCAACGCTCAGCCGCCCCCGATCTGACCACGGTGCCAGCGGACGGTCCGGAGACCAATCGGTCTCATTGGACATCTTCGAACCAACTGCAGCACCCGGACGACACCACTCGATGTCTTCCGCTCATCTCTGCCACGCCACTCACCCCGACAATCAACACTGACCACACTCCTGAATTCCAACTGCCGTCCTCCTCCATCGCCTCAACGTCAGCTGTTACAGCTCCTGCACCCACCGCCACTGCAATCAATCCTAACACACTGTCAAGCATCACCCTCACCACCGCCAACATCAGCGATGCGATTTCGGTCGTCACCTATCCTCATTGCGATCGCGCCTTCACCTCACACGTCGGCCTGGTCGGTCACTTGTGAGTCCCATCGTACAGAGACTGGCGAACCAGTTCCTGGAGCACCCACATACGCTCGACCCATTCGCCTTAATTGCCCCCGCTGCGCCCGCACATTCACTTCCTGCATGGGCCTAGTAGGCTACATGCGCATTCACGAAAACCTGCAATAGACAACCGCCGGCGTAACCACGCCAACATATCTTCCCCCACCAGCACACACACACACACACACACACAC